GTACTTCAGTTAAACTAATATCGTTATGCTATAATTACTCAGAAAATTCTCTTTCTTAGAGGCTAAGCAAGGTTAGTTTGAGTTAAACTTGGCCACTTAAGCTAATGAAACAATTAACGGCCTAAGCTATTTAGTTCCTGGAACAGAATAGAGAAAGAAGGAGAAGGACGGAGAAAGTCAGAGAGGAACATTCCTTATTGAGATCTAGAAGAGAAAGATTGAAAAAAAAGAAAGAGAAATAGGAAGAAAATCAAAAGGAATTCAAGTTCAACATTTTGGATTTGAGAATTGAACGCTTAGGTGATTTAGATACCTTAAATGAGGTGCTTAAGTTGAACTAATTTCCTTAAGCTGCAATGACTCATAAAATTCTCTTTCTTAGAGGCTAAGCAAGGTTAGTTTGAAATAAACTTGGCCGCTTAAGCAAATGAAACAATTAGCGGTCTAGGCAATTTTGTTCCTAGAACAAAATAGAGAATGATGGAGAAGGACTGAGAAAGGTAGAGAGAAACATTCTTCATCAGAGGTAGAAGAGAAAGTTAGAGGAAAGAAAAAATAATAGGAAAGAAAATCAAAGGGAATTCAAATTCAACCCTTTGGACTTAAGAATTGAACACTTAGTTGATTTGGAAAACCTTAAATGAGGTACTTAAGTTTAACTAATATCCTTATGAACAAATTGAAAAATGGGTTAGTGAGAGGAGCTCTAACATCTCTCTAGAAAACTCTTGTTTTCTAGGGTTCAATATCTCATTGATTGCCGATGTCTGGAGTAATTGCTACCATTAATGAACGTAATGTGGGGGGAAATGCTAAGAGTGAGTCTGTAAAGACATCTGGTCTTGTCGATTGAAATCTAGGGTTCACTAATAATCATTTTACGACCTTGTGTGACGACTTGATGGCTTCCGAGGCAGATCTTACTAAACCTAGTGGCGAGGTTTCAACCGTTAATCGCAGTGTTGGAAGTCCGATGGTAAATCTATCTAGTGTGGAGGCTCATAATCAGGATGGTGGTCAACGTTGAGGCAAATCGTTCTGGAGAAATGGGTGTTTCGGCTTCGGTTTTGGAAATTGTGGGATTAGACCTATCTAAATCCCCAATCGATGGCGGGTCTAAGGATGCTGGGCAGAGTTTGGATAAAATGAAGGCTCCGATGTTCCCAAGTCTTGGTCAGGAGCCATCTACGCCGATTGGTCATGAGATTGGTACGAGTTGGTCTGAAATCGTTGAGGAAGAGAACAATAGCTTCCTGAATCTGCCCGATAGCCTGGAGATCGCGCGTAACAGGGGGGGGGGACCAAGAATAGTTTTGTTCTGAGCGATCCAAATCTGGCTCCTATCTCTGAAACCCAGATTCCTCTTGGCGAGTCTACTCACGGGGGAGGTGGTAGGGGGAGAGGTAGTTATCGGGGTGGGAGAGGAGGTCGCGGGGGCCCTAGTGGTAACAGAACAGTTGAGCAAATGGGCCAAGGGAACCGATCATGGGCCAATGTTACTGCTGCATCTACTTGATCAAACATCAAACTCAGGTATGTCCCTCCAACTGCTGTAGAAGATAGTATTGTGGTAGAGATGCCAGCCAGATATGATCCATTGGAGAAATGGGATTCCTGTCTCGTTGGCTATTTTGTTGATAAAGGAGTTGGCTATAACTATCTTCGGAATAGTGCGTTTGGGATGTGGAAGGCTAAGGGCCTTAAGGAAGTTCTCACAAATGGGGATGGCTTCATGTTCTTCATATTTGATACTCCTGAGTGCTGTAGAGACGTTCTAGAGGGAGGCCCATTGGGGGTTATCTCCTTATCTTGAAACAATGGAAGAGAATGATGAAACTTGCTAAGGAGAAATCCACTAAAATCCCAGTTTGGGTGAAATTTTTCAATGTCCCTCTGGAATACTGGGACCCTGATGGATTAAGCAGGATTGCTAGTGCAATTAGCAATGCTCTCTTTATGAATCAGCTTACGGCTCGAGGAAGTAGAGTGGCTTTTGCTAGAAGCTGTGTGGAGATAGAGGCTACTTCAAAGTTGCTTTCTTACTTCCAAATTAGGTGTGGAGATGATGCTGTCTTAATTAAAGTTTTTTTTTTTTTTGGGTGAATAAGAGATAAAATAAAACAAGAAAATTTACACAACTACAAGGGGCATACCCCAGGACCTAACACAGCTATACAGAAAACAAACCAAAAGCCAACAACCTGTTCACCTTTCCTATAATCTAGCAATAGGAAGAGTGAACAAGAAATATAAGCAATTATAGCAACCTAGACGAAGAGAGAAACAAACTGAAGCATAGATCTAGGAGGCTATGGTCTTGACAAAGAACCTCCAGCAACTGTAGCACCAAGCAAGATGGATGAACCTGGACACTGTATCCACAAGGGCACGAGCCAAAACAAAACAAAATTCCCTACCTACACAGCCCGTAGGGATAGGAATAAGAATCAAAACAAAAGCTAACCTGTTAAAATATGTGCAACCCGAAACATGGTTGCTAGGAAATCTATTAAGAACACAAAGAAGCACAAAGGTACTCCTACACAGCCCGTAGGTATAAGCTAAATACGCCATAAAATTATGTAAAAAATACAATGAAAAACAACTGATTTTCTCCCTCATGTAGCACAGCAAGGCGCTAGCAGCAGCCATCACCATGGTACAAATACACCCTACAAACTGCCACCCGAATCTGTGCAGCATGTATTCATCACCCCTCCACGCAAAAAAACAAGGATACCAGCAGCAATCCCCTGTAACTGCACTGTAAGCAGCACCACACCTCCTCACCAACAAGTGAGCCTGTCGAAAATCATAAAGGAGAAAAAATAACAAACACACAATATAGGAGCTCTCCTCACTCGACCAACAACACAGCATGTCTCTCCACTCCATATATGATCTCACATCACTAGGCCCACAACTCACATGATACCTCGAAAGAATCAGAAAGACATTATACTTGAAAGCTCCAAGAACCTGCCAAACCATATATAAGATATAATAAAAGTTAGCGTAAAACATGTGTGGTGTCTCTCATCACTCAACCCACAATGTCTGGAAATATTTAGGTAGCTCACAACACTCAACCCTCCATACGGACACATCAATGTAGGAGATGATTTAGGATTCATGATAACCTGCAAAAGAGCACCCAGTTAGTAAACCCCACAATAGTTGCTCACCATCACTCAACCCTCAATGTAGGTAACCTCACAACACTCATTCTCCAGCCAGCTGCAATAGTATGGTGCTGCTGCAAGATTTTGGGAGGAAGACTCCATTCCTCCAAAAGCCAATTATCACCTGCAGAAATTTTAACATTTTCCATAGAAAGAAGCCTACCCCTAACCATTTGGATAATAGAGTTAGTAACAACCTCTTCAGGCTTTTGGACCTTATTGAAGATCCTACTATTCCTCTCCATCCAAATGTGGTAGACAGTGCAAAGGAATGATAGCTTTAGAATCACGATTTTCAAGGAGGTACCACTGGTGGATCTAACAGCAAAATCAACAGTTTCCAACCAAGGCAAAGAAGGCCAATTAGACTTACACTTGGCAAGGATACCACCCCAAATCCTAGAAGAAAATATGCACCTAAAAAAAAGATGGGAATGATTCTCCTCAGGATCTTGACAGAAAGGGCAGTAAGGATTAGTAACAAGACCACAAGTTTTAAGTCTATCGCCAGTATTAAGTCTCTCATTGATGGCTAACCAAGCAATAAAACTAACCCTAGGGATTGAAGGGGGGCCCCAGATAAGTTTGGACCAAGTGACTTTAGGGCCCTTATCCCTCCAACAATCCCAAGCTGACTGGATAGAAAAGTTACCATCAGCAGCCAAATTCCAAACCGGAGTATCAGAAGAGCCAAAGGAAGGTAGAAAGGATAAAGGGGTAGAAGAGATCCACTCCTTTATCTCCCAAGAATTAGAAACAGGCCACTTCCAAGAACTATTAGAGACTATAGAGCTAACCTTGGTGCTGTCAGGAAGATTAGTGTCATAAAATTCGGACCCTCTTGCATGATGGCAGATATGTAATTATGGTGTTTACATGCCATTTCGCATGCATTAAGGTTTAAACACTCGGACACTTATTCGTGCCGTCTTGCATGATGGCAAATATGTATTTATGGTATTTACTTGCCATTTCTCGTGCATTTGGATTCGGACAATCGGACCCATGAGGGATCACTAGGAGTTCTAACAGCCCAAAAGCTCCTCCCTTTAAGCAAGTAAGCCTTGACCCATTGGCACCACATGGAACAATCACCCCCAGAAAACAAGTACCAAACATGTTTGGCTATAGCAGCCTTGTTCCAGGTAGCTAAGTCTTTGAAACCAAGGCCACCCTCATTTTTTTTCCTGCAGATATATCTCCAAGCAATCTTAGCACTATGTTTTTTCAACTCAACCCCAGACCAAAGAAAAGATCTAAGGATGCTCTCAATGTCACCAATGATTTTCTTAGGGAGGATAAAAAGAGAGGACCAATACACTTGCATTGAAAACAGAATAGACTGGATGAGTTGAGCTCTACCAGCATAAGAAAGCAGTTTATTGGTCCAACTTTTAATCCTCTTAGTAATTCTCTCAACCAAAGTATGACAATCAGACACTTTAAGCTTGGTAGTGATAAGAGGCACACCAAGGTATTTCACCGGGAGGGAGCCCTCAGTAAAATTGGCAATTTGAAGAATATCCTCTTTAAGCTCACTACTACACCCCGAGAAAAAAATATTACTCTTACTAGAATTAGGGGTAAGATCAGACAGATCCCTAAATTCATCCAATCCCTGCATGATAAGAGTAACAGTACCAGGGTCCCCTTTACTGAAAATCATCAAATCATCAGCAAAACAAAGGTTGACAATTTTAGTTTTCTCACACCTCCAGTGGAATTTGAACAAAGGGCTCCTAGATTTCTCAGCTAAAATTCTGGGGAGAATTTCCATAGCCAACACAAAGAGATACGGGGACATAGGGTCCCCTTGTCTTAATCCCCTCGCCCCTTTAAAATACCCCTGAAGGCTCCCATTACTACAAATCGAGAAAGAAGGACTCGTAATGCAAGCCTTTGTTGTCCGAGATCAATGATAAAGTCCCATCTCACAGTATCATAAGCTTTCATAATATCAACTTTCATGGCACACTTAGGAGAGTGGGAACTCCTATGGTAACCTCTCATAATCTCTTGGGACAAGAAAATGTTGTCCGAGATCCTTCTACCTTGAACAAACGCAGAGTGCACAGGATCAATCAAATCAGGAAGGGCCAATTTAATTCTATTAGCTATGATCTTGGCAATGCATTTGTAGATGGTATTACAACAAGAGATGGGTCTATAGTCACCAACATGAGTAGGATTAGGAACTTTAGGAATAAGAGCTATAATGGTACTGTTAACCTCTGAAAGAAGTTTAGCAGAGTCAAAGAAAGACTTAATAGCTAGAATGACATCCTTACCAACAATATCCCAAGAGCTCTTAAAAAAACTAGCGGAATACCCATCCGGGCCAGGGGCTTTATTGGACTTTAAAGACCAAAAAACCTCCTTGATTTCAGTTTCAGAAACAGGCTTGGACATTGAAGCAGATTGAGAGAGAGAGACTTTTTTTTCCACCAAAGATTGAATCCTCTCAAGGCCCTGGTACTGATCCACAGAAGGGGTACCAAACAAGTTGGTATAAAAATTAATAAAGGAGGTGTGAACATCAGTACTATGAGTAGACCTAGAACCATCACTCATGACAACACTCAAAATCTTCCCTCTATTGATATTACTTTTCACAGACCTAAAGAAGAATTTGCTATTTCTATCCCCAAGACCAAGCCACTGCACTCTGGATTTTTGAAGAGCAAGGCTCTCTTCAACTTTGCTAAGCTCAATATACTTATTCAGATCCTCTCTCTCTTGGGCTTGCAAAACACTATTCAAAGGGTCTTTGTCAAGTTTATATTGAATAAGATCCAGATTAGTTTTAGCAATTTGGACACGAGTAGATATGTCACTAAAGTCTTTCTTATTCAAAAGCTTAAGACTAGCTTTAAGCTTTCTGAGTTTTTGATAGACCCTGAACATAGGAACCCCTTGAATATACTGCCCCCAGGTGTTAGAAACAGTACCCAGAAAATCTGGATGTTGAGACCAGGAATCAAAGTATTTGAAAGGTTTTTTGAAAGAGCACTTGGTGGCACTGATATTGACCACAGCAGGGGAGTGGTCAGAAATACTAGAGGGGAGAAACTGGGCAGTAGCCTCAGGAAATTTATCCAGCCAAGCCTCATTAACCAGAACTCTATCAATTTTGGTAGCTATATAGGTCCCCTCACTCCTATTGTTAGCCCAGGTGAATTGGCAACCTCCGTAAGACAAATCAGCCAACTCAGAAGCATTATCATTCGTCCAATTAGAAGTCCCCCCAATTTTTTCCTGCTGGTATCTAATAGCATTAAAATCACCCAGAAAAACACAAGGAACTTTGGATTTAACACGGGAGATATCAAGCATAGATTCAAAAAAAACCTTTCTCAATGTGTGCTTATTTTCAGCATAAACAAAAGTTGCATAAAAGATTTCATTGGAAGCCAATTCAATAATTTTACACAAAATATGCTGATTAGACATAGAAATCATTTGAACATCACAAAAAACATTGTTCCAGCACACCCAGACTCTACCAGTTTCAGTTGGTTGTGAATTAGAGAGCATAGACCATTGATCAAAACATTTACCACAGATGCTACTCTCTTTAGACTGTTTTATTTTGGTTTCCAAAACCCCCATGACCTGAATATTCTCTTTAAGCACAAACTTTTTAACTTCTTTATGTTTAGAGGGATCATTCAAACCTCTAACATTCCATGAAGCAATTTTTATATTCATAGGGACACAAAAGGGAGATAGAGACAAAACCCACAAAAAAAGACAAAACCCACAACCAACTGAAACTGTGTTACCTCTTTTTCTTCCTCTTGCTGCTGCTGCCTTTGCCAGAGGGCCTGTTCTTCACCTGCTGGGATGGGGTAGCAGAACTATGGATCGCCTTTTCAGCCTTAACTTCTTTAATCGCAGTGTCCAACATTTCAGCAGCATTGGGGACCACCAGCTTTGCAATCTCGAACACCTTCTTTTGGAACCTATCCACATCACTGCTTTCAGAGCTTTGCTCCTCCCCGGATAAGCTCTTGATCGTAGAAGTCTCCTGAGTGTCAAAGGATTGATCAGATGAGTCCACCTCAGTGGGAGCAATTTCAGGAGCTGGAGCTGGAACTGGGTCTACTGTAGAAGCTGGAGCTGGGAGTTCCACCACTTCTGGGATAGTTTCCAACTCAGGATCACCCACCTTCCTCTTCCCCTTAGCTGTGACAGTGGTCCAGCCTTCGTCTTGAGCACTTACATTTTCCTCAGTTGTCTTCTGCATAGAGATCAGCTTAGCCACCTGTTGAGACACACACTTTTGAGTGCTATGTCCAAATATTTGGCAATGTTGACACCTTGACGGTAGCCCCTGATATTCGACTCGGATTAGAACAGCTTCATCATCATGCCTAATTTGGAAATAAGTGGGCAGTTTTGAGGTAGCCTCAATTTCCACACAGATTCTAGCAAAAGCCACCCTACTACCCCGAACCGTAAGCTGGTCCATAAAGAGGGGATGTCCAATTGCACTTGCAATCCTACTTAAACCATCAGGATCCCAATATTCCAAAGGGATGTTAAAGAACTTCACCCATACTGGAATTTTTGTGGATTTATCTTTTGATAGCTTCGTCATCCTTTTCCATTGTTTTAGAATAAGGAGATAACCTCCTATGTACCATGGACCTCCTTCAAGAACTTCTCTACAACTATCAAGGGTATCAAAAATAAAGAACATGAACCCATCCCCATTAGTAAGAACCTCTTTGAGGCCCTGAGTTTTCCACATCCCAAAAGCACTGTTACGCAAATAATTGTAGCCCACTCCCATATCAACAAAGTAACCCACAAGACAGGAGTCCCATTTCTCTAGCGGATCAGTCCTTGGGGGCATATTTACAACAACACTATCCTCAAAAGAAGAAGGAGGGACATACCTGAGTTTGATGTTTGAACGGGTTGATGCAGCAGTGATGTTTGCCCATGAGCGATGTTCTTGGCCCTCAAGCTCGTTAGATCTCCTACCACCTGCATCCCCTCGACCTCCTCTTGCCCCACGATAACTTCCACCCCCCCTGACGCCTCCTCGTTGGAAGGATGGAGAATCCCTAATCGGTATCTGTATATCAGAATCAGAAGCCCTAACTGGAACTGAAGGTTCAACGATATTCTTGTGTTCCCCTCTATTACGCGCTAAAACTACACTATCTGGTAGATTTAGGAAGCTATTGTACTCTTCCTCCACCATATCAGACCAACTCGTACTGATAGCATTCTCAGTCGGCGTCGATGGCTCGTCAATCGTAGCTGGAAACATCGGACCTTTCAGTTTCTCCGAGTTTGACTCAGGTCTCTTGCCCAAAACATTGCTTCAATCTCTTGGTGGATCTGAACCATCACCCTCTGCTACCGAAACAACCTCGAGTCCCAAACAATCTGCCTCATAATCGGCAACCTGCGATTGAATCTCCACACCAGAAGGATCCACGATCTGAATATCCACACCTCGGTTACCCTCCATAATGGAAGGATTAGCCATTGAGAGACCCTCGCCACTAGGGTTTGTAACATCTGCTTCAAAAGCCATCGATTTTTCAGTCAAAATCGCAAAACTATTTTTGGTGAACCCTAAGTCTCCACCTGATGACTTTACTTTCTCGACCTTAGCATTTACCCCCTCAATACGCTCATTAATGGTAGCATAAACACCAGACATCGGCAATCAATGAGATATTGAACCCTAGAAAAAAAACAAAGTTTTCTAGAGAGATGTCAGGGCTTCTCTCACTAAAGTTGAATATCAAGGGCTGCCTTCTGTTTGTCAACACTGTCAGATCTTTGGACACAGTACTGAGAAGTGTGTTTCCAAACAAGTGGCCCAGTTGATTTCCTTGCAGAAGGAAACCGAAGAGAATGTCAATCCTTAGGAAGAAGGTTGGACCACTATTCAAGCTAAGGGTAAAAGGAAGGTAGGGGATCCTGAGTTAGAGACTATACCTGAAGTGGTGGAGTCCCCTGAACTTCCTCCAGATGCGGAGCCAATACCTGCTTCAGTAGAGCCTGTGACTGCTTCAGTTCAAACTCAAGCGATACAGGAGGATCCTGCCGAGAAGAGCTCCTCTGTGGAAGAAGTAAGCTCTGACAGTAGTGATGTGGATCGATTTCAAAGGAAGATCTTCGAGATTACAGAGCTGGTTATACCTAATGCTGCTGAAATGATAGAGTCAGTATTGAAGGAGACAAAGAAGACACCTGCTGTAGCTCAGGTAAACCAGTATGTTAAGAACAAGTCCTCTGGTAAAGGTAGCAGCAGCCGGAGGAAGAAGAAGAAGTAATCAGTTTCAGTTGGTTGTGGTTTTTTTGTCATCTCCCTTTTTGTTTCCCAATGACTGTTAAAATTGCTTCATGGAATGTTAGAGGATTGAATGATCCTTCTAAACAAAAAGAAGTTAAGAATTTTGTGTCTAGAGAAAATGTTCATGTCATGGGAGTTTTGGAAACTAAAATAAAACAAACCAATGAGAGGAAAATTTGTGAAACATGTTTTGGTAAATGGTCTATGCTCTCCAATTCACAACCAACTGAAACTGGGAGAGTCTGGGTGTGCTGGAACAATGATTTTTGTGATCTTCAACTGATTTCCATGTCAAATCAACATATTTTGTGTAAAATCCTTGACTTGGCTACAAATGAATGTTTTTTTTGTTGTTTTTGTTTATGCTGCAAATAAGCACACTTTGAGGAAAGTATTTTTTGATACAATGTTTAATATCTCCCGTGCTAAATCCAAAGTTCCTTGTATTTTCTTGGGTGATTTCAATGCTATAAGATACCAACAGGAAAAAATTGGGGGTTCTTCTACCTGGACTTCTGAAAATGAGGAGTTTAATACCTATATTAACGCATCTGAATTGGCTGATCTATCTTATGGTGGATGCCAATTCACATGGGCTAATAAAAGGAGTGAGGGAGCTTTCATAGCTACCAAGATTGACAGAGTCCTGGTTAATGAGACCTGGCTGGATAAGTTTCCTGAGTCTACGGCTAATTTTCTCCCGGCTGGTATTTTTGATCATTCATCTGCTGTGGTCAACGTCAGTGTCAACAGTAGCTCCTTTAAGAAACCTTTCAAATACTTTGATTTCTGGTCTCAACACCCAGATTTTCTTAGCACTGTTTCAAATACTTGGTTTCAGTATATTCGTGGTGTCCCTATGTTCAGAATTTGTCAGAAGCTGAGACAACTTAAAGTCAGTCTTAAGCTTTTAAATAAAAAAGATTTTAGTGATATTTCCACTCATGTCCTTATCTCTAAGGCTAGTTTGGATCTTGCTCAAATTAAGCTTGATAAGGATCCTTTGAACTGTGGGCTACAAGCTGAGGAGAGAGAGGAGTTGAAAAAATACATTGAGCTTAGTAAGCTGGAAGAGTGCCTTGCTCTTCAAAAATCCAGAGTCCAATGGCTTGGTCTAGGGGATAGGAATAGCAGTTTCTTTTTTAGGTCTGTGAAGAGTAATATTAATAGAGGTAAAATCATGAGTGTGGTTATGGAGGATGGTACTAGATCCACCAAGAGTACTGATATCCATGATACTTTTGTCCAGTTTTATACCAAGCTGTTTCGTACCCCTATCTTGGGGGAGTACAACGGTCTTGAGCGCATTAAATCGCTGGTGAATAAAAAGGTTTCCAATTCTCAATCGGCTCTCTTGGCTAAACCTATTTCGGATGTTGAAATCAAGGAGATTTTTTGGTCTCTCAAAGCCAATAAAGCTCCTGGCCCTGATGGGTATTCAGTTGGTTTCTTCAAAAGCTCGTGGGATATTGTTGGGAAGGAGGTTACTCTTGCCATTAAGTCATTTTTTGACTCTGGTAAACTCCTCTCGGAGATAAATAGCACCATCATTGCTCTTATTCCTTTTTTTTGGGTGAATAAGACAATAAAAAAAACAGCAAGATATACAAAAATACAAGGAGGGACAAACCCCAGGACCTACCAAGAAGCTATACAGGACGAGAGACGAAAGAAAAACAAAGGGCTACACCAAGCCCAACAACAGCCCACACGGACAAAACAAAAAAAAGACAACAACAAATGTTCATAACCTATTTTAACGGAAATAGCGAATGAACAGATGCAGAATCAGCTAATAATCCAAAGATGCATCAACTATTGAAGCCAACCAGCAAAACTCAAGCAAAAACCCAAAACCCACAAGCCCAAAGCCCACGGCTTCCAAAAGAACCGAGCAGGCACACAGGTTTGAAAATAAGAGTACAACCCAGGTCCCTAGTACAACCCACTAGGGTAGGCACAAACATCTATATCTGTATAGTAACTACAGGAAAGAAAAATATTGAAGGACAACTGATGAACACTCTGCGCAACCCAGAAGGCGCATAAAGCAGCCGTGCCATGAAACCAGATAACCACCCACGTCAGCACCACATCCACCAACGCAGCTTGAATTTCGGAAATGCAGACCCAAGTAGAGAACTTGTGATACGCATGCTCTAGACATTGTAATAGGTCCTGCCAAACAAACATAGAAATAACAGCACCCAAAATCAGGAGAAATAAAGGGTGATACATACATATTTGTTGCTCACAACACTCAACCCACAAATATAGGACCTCACAAAACTCGGGAATTGCTTCCTTAGCCTGCACATAAAATTTTACAATATATATACTGATTAGAATCAAAATCATATTGGTGCTAATTTCACTCAACCCACAAATAAACACTTAGCAGAGATGTTTTTAATTTCGAGGCTCACAACACTCAACCCACATTGTAGAGAAAAGCTTCCTAGAAACACACCTACACAAGCAACAACTGATTAGATAAACACACAGTTTCTGCTCACAATCACTCAACTCAATCATTTAGAAACTCACATCACTCAGCAGCCCTCCCATGACTGTGAGTATGGGGCTTCAAAATGGATCTAGGAAGATTCCATTGCGAAAGGTACCAGCTATCACCTGCATTGTTAGGAATATTGCTGGCAGACAACAATCTGCCCCTTACCATGAGAACAATAGATTTAATAATCACCTCTACAGGTTTACATTCCTTATTGAAAATTCTATTATTTCTTTCAATCCAATACACAGTGCAAAGAAAGGAAAGTCTAGTGATGATAGCTTTGAGAGTTTTACCTTTGCCTTCTTGGGTGGCAATTTCAGGCCAAGGTATATCAGTCCACTGAATATTACATTTACCTTTTCATAGTAAGCCAAATACTATAGGTAAAGGTACAGCCAAAGAACAGGTGGGCATGACTCTCCTTAGGATCTAGGCAAAAAGGGCAAGTAGTACTAGGTGAGATTCCAAACAAATGGAGTCTGTCACTAGTGTTCAACCTACCATGAATAGCCAACCAAACAATAAAACTGACTTTGGGAATAGTGTAAGCCCCCCAAACCAATTTGTACCACGGAACAATGCTTTCCTTTTTCCTCCACAAATCCCACAGATTTTATAGTGAAATCCCCGTCGGGATTAAGATTCCAAACCACCTTATCCATAGTCAAAGAGTTAGGATTCCAATTATTAGTATGGGAAATAAGATCCCTGAGATCCCATGAGGTTGGAAAAGGCTAGTTCCAGGAGTTTCCTTCAATAATCTGACTGACTTTAGCATCACTATTTAGACCCGAGTCATATAAGATTCTATCACCATATTTGCCCCACAAAGAACCCAAAGGATGCCAGTTATCATACCAAAGGAAAGTATCATGACCATTACCAATTTTGTGATGGATGAGAGGGTAAATAACAGGCCTCAAAGAAAGGATTTTCCTCCAAACCCAAGAAGGATCACTAGGTGTCTTAACTTTCCAAAAATTCTTCCCCTTAAGGAGATAGGATTTCACCCATTGACACCACATGGACTTAGTCCGACCAGAGAAAAGGAACCAGACATGTTTGGCTATGGCAGCCTTATTCCAAACCTCAAGAGATTTGAAGCCCAGCCCCCCCTCTTTTTTAGGGGTGCAAACTTTGTCCCAAGCAATCTTAGCACAGTGCTTCCTTAGGTCAGTACCAGACCAAAGAAAGGCTCTTAGGAGACTCTCAATCTCCTTCATAACCTTCTTAGGCAAGATAAACAAAGAAGACCAGTAAACTTGCATGGAAAACAAGATTGTTTGGATCAGTTGGGATCTACCAGCATAAGAAAGAAGTTTATTGGTCCAAGAACTAATCCTCTTAGTGATTCTATCAACAAGTTGCTTACAATCAGAAGCTTTCAGCTTAGTTGTGATAAGTGGGACACCAAGGTATTTAACCGGCAGAGTTCCCTCAGAAA